TTTTGTTTGAGTATTCTTGAAATCACCACTCCCGTTTACGCATTTGATGCACTAAATTCGTTGTTCAATTACTTTGCGCACACAAAATCGAAATGGCAATCAACCATGCTTACAATACTTCCTGTTGACACACTAATACATATATAATATACATATTTGTGTAGGTATGTGGACATGTGATTACATCCCAGTCTCGACACTTATTTACTCATCCCTCTGAACTTGTACCTCGCAGTCAAGATTGCTCACACGCGCACGGAACGTTTTCCGCCGACGGTTTGCGCGCTGACGTTCGAACGGGAAGAATGGTATGGTTTCTGCAACAGATCACCGACACCACAGTATCTGCGTCGGTACTCTCTAAAGATACGGTACGTGTTTCGTCTGTTTTTTCACTGTTGTACAACAATCACTACTACGTATTCTCCTATTATATTGTGTTTGAGTATTGACTATAATATTGGCATGAGTGCTCTCTAAAGATACGGTACGTTTCTCGTCTGTATGTTCTTTGCTATACAACTATTAAAAGCGCGTGATCTCCTATTATATCTTTTTTTGTTTGAGCATTTGCCACAGTATCGACGTCGGTGCTCTCTAAAGATACGATACGTTTCTCGTCTATATATTCTCTGTATACATCAATCAGCACTACTTGTTCACTACTATGTATTTGGAGTATTTTTCTCATGACCATCATCTTACCCCAATTTTTTACACAAGTACTTTTACTTTGTTGTGGAATGATGACAGATGCTCGCAATTGCTTGTACCCATCAGCACGCACACGATGTATATAAATTGTCTTTCCCATGGCAGCGTATCCAAAGCATTCGCAAGGTCAGTAGATCTTTCAGCAGAATACTACACGAGGTTCAATCCACCTTTTTAATCAGTGTACAGTGTCGTATATCGATGCACTGTGTAGTACATTATGTCCAATCGGGTTCGTATAGAGCCGGAAACACATCGACTTACTGGACCTTCTCCACTGTATTCTTCTCAGGGTAACCCCGGACTCTTGTCTGGAGGTGTAATGGTGCAAACCGCGCCCGGTTTTGTAGTACAGACGCGCCACGTGACGATGGGCACCATCATGAATGTTGAACACACACTGCTCAGGAGAATAGACAACGTTAACACATGGTACGAATCGCACACAGAGGTGCCGGATTTCGATATGGGACTCTATCAGGATGAGATGGATACCTTTTTAACCGCAAGCGCACCCTGGCACCCACCCACGAAAGAGAAGGAGGGAGATGGCGAATCAAGTGTGGAAGGGGAAAGTGAGAGTTAAACGTACGAGTCAAAATACAAATGAAATAAATTAAATATAATCCCCCCCCCCCTATACTCACGAATATTATTCCCGACGCTACATCTCTCGAAGATTGTACAAAGCGAATGCACAAAGCGAATGCAGCTAGTATACAATGTTGCAGCTATCTTGTGTACATTTATAGAGTCCCTTAGAGTGAGAGATAGTGGATAGGCAATACGTGTTTACTAATAAATTTAGGCACGGGAAATTTCTTGGTTCTTGGTATATATATATATATATATATATATTTATATATAGATATATATTTATATAGATATATATATATACATATATATTTACATAGATATATATAGATAA